ATCTTTGGATTGATCCAGTGCTGGGTGTGTGAAATAGCCAGGGAATGACCTAGGGGGAGGTAGGGGGCATGGTAAAAAAAAAAAAAAGCTGTTTATGTGGTGGAGGAAGACCAGACAGGTGGATACCAACAGTCTGAAAGAGAGAGTCCTGGGGTTGGGACTTGGGGTGTGAAGTGAATGTGTGTGAGTGAGACAGCAGGGAACACTGAAGGTTGAGCTTGTGCATGGAATGTTCTGGGTGAAACCAAGTTTAACATGGGAACATGTAAGGACTTTCTGGAGTGACATATTCTGAGCCAAAGAGATATACTTTCTTCTCTGTGTGAATGACACCACCTCCTACCAGTCACCACAACCTGTAACCTGGAGTCATCCTAGGAGTTCAGTCTTCATTGCCTCCCTTACATTCATTTGGCCATCAGAACCTTTTAACTGTATTTCCTAAACATCTCTTGACTGCAGTTGCCTTGATTGAAAACCTCGAAATTGCCCCCACCCCCTTGCCCCACTGTTCTTTAAAATTCAAATTTGATCTCACTCCCAGGCTTAAATTCTCCCAGTGGCTTCCCACTGCTTTAAGATACAAATTCCTTAGTGTGGCTGACAAGGTACTTGGTATCTGGTCACCAGTTACCTCTGTGCTTTAGTCACATAGTTCTCTGTGATTAAAGGTCCTTGGAAAGACCTTCCACACCTTCTCTTGGATCTTACTTTTTCAAGATCCCTCATATCTGTGGAGGTATGAGAAACCTTATTTCCTTCACTGGGAGAAATGACCATCAGAGTATGAGTAGCCCCCTGTGCATGCCCCTGGCCCAGAACTAATCACACATTTCCCCCTCTGGTCTGATAGCTCTAGACAGGAGACACTGTTTATTCCACCTGTAAACCTCAGAGCCTACCACAGGGTTTGGCCAGAGTACATGCTCAATGGATATTATTGAATGAAGAAGGAATGAGTGAATGTTGAAATCTCCTTAGCTGAGGGTAGGAATTGGGGTTGGAAGACTGTGAGTGAGAGGCCAAAGTCTTGGATGAGAGTTTACTAGCTGTGTTTTATGGGACCTGGCCATTGACATCTTCTTTTAGGGAAATTGCCTTGTCTAGTAGTCAGCTGTCCTGAATCCTGCATCCTGACACCATTCCTGTACAAATGATTAAGTTGAGTGATCCTGCCCTGCTATCAGGCTTGCCAGGGACCTGTGTGACCTGTCATGAAAAGATGAGCTGGGTTAATCGGATTTTCTCCTGGGATCTGGGAATTGGAAAGCAGGTTAAAATGATAAGCTCCAGGAGCACAGGTTGAAAGGATACATCAAGAATTGTCAAGAAATATTTAGCAGAAGTTGCAGAGTGGCCCGGATACATTTTTATGACCTGTGCAAGGTTTTATAATATTTTGAATGGGTTGCCAACGTTTGAGAATTGGAAGGTTTCACATTGAAATCTGGCTATTTGGTTTCTCTTGTAAAATTCAAAAGTCTGATATGGCAAAAACCGAAGCCAAGTAGAACGCAGGGCACCTGCTTTCCCCTTCACCATGGCCTTCCCCACGCCATATGCTCACACCTGGCCAGCTTCATTCATTTACTTTATTTGCTTGCCCCCTATAGCCATCTGACAACCAACCTGTTGAAGGAACAAGTAGCAATGAGGGCTTATATGCAAGCCAGGTTCACAGGGGAACAGAATCCCTAAGAGAGCAAGGAGGAAACTGGTGGGAGTTGGGGAGTAGGTGAGAAAGAGAGAGGATACAGCTGCTAAGAGAGGGAAACCAGTGCCCAGAGATGCCTGAGTTTCTGGGCTTCTCAGTTCTAGTAACTGCTCATGGTTACCTTCATCATAATTCCCTTTTCTTGAGATAATTTGCAATACAATTAGTCAGGCTAAGGGAGGGGGCTACTAGGAAATTGGTAGATAACAGCAATGAGGCAAGTAAGACAGTGGTTTATCTAGATGATATTAGCCTCAAAGAAGAAATTCTTACATGAAGGTGGAATATAAATTATAAGTTGCTGTCAAGAGTTAGACTCTTGCTATGTATCCTGGTTCAGAAGGATCAGAGAAGGGGCACTGAACAACCTCTGCTCAAGAGGATGTATAGTCAAAAGTATTCTCAGAGAAAATCAGAAGCATTCTGGGAAGGGCTATGGGTATGCAGGGTTCCAGAGGGTTTGGAGGAAGGAACTAGGAAGTCTGGGGAGAAGAAATTTGGAAGAGATTTAAGTTTTGATCATATATATCATCTAAGAGTGTAGACTGGGCCTGGTAACTAACTTTCACTGTGTGTTGAAAAGAGAGGTCTGTATTTCAGCAAACAGAGAAGGCTTCCTGAAAGAGGTGGCATCTGAGCTGCATTTTTTTGTTTTTGTTTTTGTTTTTTTGCGGTACGCGGGCCTCTCATGTTGTGGCCCTCTCCCGTTGCGGAGCACAGGCTCCGGACGCGCAGGCTCAGAGGCCATGGCTCACAGGCCTAGCCGCTCCGCGGCATGTGGGATCTTCCCGGACCGGGGCACGAACCCGTGTCCCCTGCATCGGCAGGCGGACTCTCAATCACTGCGCCACCAGGGAATCCCTGAGCTGCGCTTTTAAAGAGATGAAAAGGAAATGCTTCACAGGCAGACAGAGCCACAACTGTAAAGGCTGAATTCTAAAGGGAGAGTGGGCAGTTTGCAGTTAGAGTCTGGATCATGGGGCCTGAGTCACCTAGCAAGTCATTTTTGTATCTTGGAGCCTTGGTTTCCATTATTATAAGAATAATGATATTGTAATTCTTCTATTCTAAAACTCAATGTTCCTACCCTATCTCACTTTTAATATTTCTCAATTTACGGACGTATCTTACAATTGACACCCCAAAATGCTTGCTTTATCACAGGGCAAATAAAAATTGTGACAGTGTTATCATTAACTAGGTATATGTAAATTTAGCCATCCACAGAAAGATGGTCATTTGATAATTAGCTTAGTTATTTGCATTGATGGTGCCATGCAGTTGAATTTTAATCTGAATTTCAAAGTGTCATGTTAGGTGTCTTCCAAAAGGTTACACTGTGTTGAGTCATTGAAACAATAAGATATTGTATATACAGATTAGTTGTCATGCATACCAATACAATTAAATGTAGAAATGGCCAACTCTCTAAATTTGACACAGAAGTTACAAATCTAGAAGAGGTTGTTTTGACTAACTGAAGTGTCTGAGGACACTGAATGTTTAACTGCCAAGTTTCTAGTTATTAAGAGAAGCTGTGTAGATTCTAGGGACATGCAATTCAATTAAAAAAAGAAACCAAGTTTATAAACAAAGAAGAAACATATATAATGCTCGTATATTCTTTGAAATGTCTCAAAAGTATGCTGTTACTTTCTAAAGGTGATGAAGAGATCAAGATATAACCATACAGTATGAAAAACACCATGCCATCATGCTATACTTAACCAGATGGTCAAAAGGGTTATTATATAAGACTTTAGGCAGTGGAAGTGAGAAGACTTAAACCTAACCTCTGCTTATGGTACTGAAGAAGAAAGTGGTACAATTATGATAATAACCAACATTAACTGAATGATTACTATGTGGCACTGCTGATTTGAGTTCTTATCTCTACAGCCTCAGGACACTCTATTAGATCAGTGGTGTTTTCTTCATTTTGCAGTGAGAAAGCTAGCAGGCAAATCCAGGAAGTTTACCTCCAGAGCCACTATGCTGTTCTAACACCCTCCCTGTGCATTTTTACAGGTATGGTTTTTAGGTTGAGTTTAGAAGTATATACTTAAATACAATGTATCCATGGTACTTTTTACTTACATGCCATGAGTCCGTGGCATCTGAGAATCAGAAGTAGGGGATTGTGGGATTATTGTGGGGATCAGAAGATGAGTATCTTACAGTGGCTCCTAGAAAAATCGTGTATCGGAGGGCAGGTGTTGCAAGTTGAGTAAATGAGCCTGCATTTTCAGAATCCTATCATCTTAGAACTGGCAAAGGCTACTGAGAGAAAGGCGTCAGTAAGGAGGAATGTTTTCTGTGGTTTTGAGAACGGTTCCTTCACACAAAACGCCCTGCCTCCCCCATCTGTCTAAATCCTTCTGATCTTTCCATGCCCACCCCAAATGCCAGCTCCTTCTGAAAGTAGTCTCTGGTTATATGAAAATATATATCAATACATGGCAGATACTTTCAAATTATTACGTGATGAAGCCAGTAAGTCAAAGACGGATTTTATCATTAAAGTTACCCTCGCTCCTCTCCTGGCCTCGGTTTCTCTAAACTGAAAGGAAGTGGTGGCTTAGACCATCTCTTCCTTTTATAATCTCTACTCTTTTACCCTTTTCAGATTTCTGCCAAAGCTGCCTTGAAAAGCAACTCTCCTTCCTCAGACCTGCAGGCGGCGGCTCCTCCTTGTTGGCAGCTCAGCAGGGCGGGGCTGGAGAAGCAGGAGAAGAGGCGGGGGCTCCGGGGGAAGCGCGGCGCGCAGCCACGTGACTTCCTTCCCAAGGAGCCGCCTCTGCCGGCCTCCCAGCAACCGGTTCGTCCCGCCTAATGACGCCCGCGCATCCTGGTTGGCCCTCGGGACGCATTTGGCAAGGAGGCTCCCACGGTCGCGCCGCTCACTGGCTTCCGCTACCGTCGCTCAGGTGCGTTGCCCGAGCGCCCGCAGGCGGTGCTACCGGAAGCCCCTCCCATTGGCCGTCGTGTTCGTGGCTGGCTGGCTGCGGCTGTCACTCCGGGTCGTTTCCCTGAGGTCTGTCCTCTGCTGGGGGCGGGAGGAAGAGGGGCAGGACTGGGGCCTGACGAGCCGTCGCTGCCGCCGCCGTCTTCGCGGCTGCTATGACCAGCGGGCGAGGCGCCCTCCGCAGCTCTGCGCAGCGCTAGTCGCGGCCGTGCGCCAGCCGTAGCCGTCTGGGTCCTCAGCGCAGCCGCTCCCGCGGCTCCCTCGGCTCTTCCAGCGCCGCCTGCGAGACGAGGCGGAGGCAGGATGAAGATGACGGTGGATTTCGAGGAGTGTCTGAAGGACTCGCCCCGCTTCAGGTAGCCGACGCGGCCGCCTGGCGCCGGGCCGGCGTCACCCGGAGCTGCCTACCCCGGCGGTGGGGGCGTGAAAGGCAGACCGCGGAACGCGCGGGAGGCCCCGTAGTCCGCGCCCTCCGACGGGGCAGGCTGCGGATGCCGTCGCTCCCGACCCGGAGAGGGCACGACAGCCCCCACTAGCCCTTCGTGAGGGGCGAGGCTGAGCCAGAGGAGGATGTTGCCTCCTTATCCCCCTTCCTCGCTCTCTGCCCAGGGCGGAACGCCCGAGAGGCGGGGCGCACCAGCTCCGGGGAACTGGGATGCAGCCGCGTCCCCGAAGACTCGTGCCCTTTGCGGTGCGCGCTCTCGTCCCCTTCCTCTTGCCGCTCGTCCTTTCCCCTTCCTTCCTCTGCTTCTTCGTTTCCACCCCCACCCCAGCCCCTCTTTGAGGGAGCTTGCAGGGCACCCTCCTGCAGTTCACTTAGTTCCTTTTACCCCGAGGGTGAAGGAGTGGGGGGCGAAGTGGGATGTCGATTTATGTTGCTGGCATGTCCCCTGCCAGGGGGGTCTCCTCAGAAGGCGCTGGCGGTTGATTTTGCACGGGAGTCGGGGGTGGGAGTCCTTTGACCAACAGCATTTTGTCCACCTTGGTCTGAGACTATAGGCTTTTCTTTACACCTAAGCTCTTTGGAGGGGCACCGCTGTCGAGAGGTACCGGGCTGAGGGGTGAGGACTAGGAGAAACAGTGCATTTCTGTTTTGAGAACGAAAGGAGGGCCCTGAAGATGGCATTTCTGTTCCTCTTTCAGCAGCGTCGGCCCGGGAGGGCCCCCATCACCGTCGGATGCTCCCAGTGGATCTGTCATATAAACTGACGTGGTGGCGCTCCGATTCACATGGGCTGGCCACCCTGCCTTGAGAGAGGCGGCAGTCCTGAGGGTGTCCAGAGCACAGACTCTTTCGGTTTCGGGCATCGTAGGAAACTCTTTAATTGTTTTGGAGAATGGAGTTTTGCTAGGTTGTGTTTTACAGTGCATTTATAGGGCTGTCCTTAGGCCTTAAAAATAAGGCCTTTAGAACTTCCGTTAGATAGTGACATGTCTTGAAAGCGTCCCCTGCGCATTGATGTGTGTGTGCCCTCTGATCTCTAGGCCAAGCCTGGGTTGTAAATTCCTGCATTCTCTGCCTGGGAACTAACTGTTCTCATCGTTATCACTGTTAATTTCATTTGCCATTTTCTTTTCAGTGAAAAGCAAAGAAAACTATTGTAAAACTAAGGAACTCCTACTTCTAAGAGAATGTCCTTTGATTTTTTTTGTTTTTGTTTTTTGGTGTTAATTTTATTTGGAGCTTAGGGCTATTGCTTGTAAAAACGTGCACCTGGTTTGATTGTTGTTGTTGGTATTAGTTTTTAAAACTTATATTGTGCGTGATTTGATGGACTCAGAGGAGATACAAATGGATTGTTTAGGACAGCTTTGCAAGTTAGATTCCAGGACTGTGTGGCAAAGGAAGTAATTTTTAAAGTGTACCTTAAAAAGTTCTACTTTTTTGGTGAAATTGTTGTTAATATTACTGGGTAACGAGGTAATCACGGCACTTTTTACCTAGAGAATGTGGCTTTGTGCTCAGTTTGTTTCACAGTTTAAATTTCATTAAAAAAAAAAGTTGAGAGAAGTCATTTGGAAATGCTTCTAATCCCTGGTGTTGGTCACAAACCATGTGCTGTCCTTGTTTTTAAAATAAAAGAATCATTGAATATAAAATAAGAGGGAAAGATACTGATTAAGTCGTATGGAATATTATAGTGAACGTTTGTTAGACTTGAGTGTAATTTCTATTCTATATCAATTAGGATGTTAGGGATTTTCTAGAGTTGTTTCCGGTATTCCAGTTGCTGTTGGCTGCAAATTGGGAAGACAAACCAAGATTCAGAGAACTCTAATATCTTGTATACATTTGTGAGACTAGATTAAATTTGCAATAGAGGCAAGAATGCCAGGAAATAAAAGTCTCGTCATTCACCCTTCTAATTTTTACAGTTTTCCTATAATCCCATTACTGTGTAGGTTTCTATAGCATTTGAAAATAATGTTTCAGAAGTCTTTTTATTCACATGCCTTATGTATAAGTGGAACTTTTAAAAGCATTGTGCACTTTATGAGTGATATATTGAAGTGTTTGTATCAAAAGAGAAGATTTGTGGCGGCTGGGCTTGTTTTCTTGATAGCAAGGCAGCTGTACTATTTATTCCTTGTAGTGTCCTGATCTATTGTGCTGCTTTAAATCTAATTCCTATTTTTATTATCCTTCACAAATGAATCTGGTGGCGTTTAAGTCTGGTATGTGGACATAACTGCCTTGAATGTTGTAGAATCAATGTAAATGGCAGCTCTTGCTGAAGAAAAATGTCATCAGTGTTCAAGCTTCAGACATTAATTTTCCTATTAAATTGGTAAGGAAACAGGAAGACTGGTTGAAATAGGGAGAGAAGGATGTTGCAGTTGCAACATTGTTTTTAGTAATTTGAATAGTCAGTGGTTACTTTTACATTCCTGTGAACATTTTGTTTTGCTTTTAGATTGGAAGGCACATTTCATTGTGTAATTTTGGGTTCCCTTCTTAGTTTTTAAAAAACCAGTCTAAAGGTCAAAATCTTGTTCATTTAAAATCTGCAGGAAAGTGAATGCATCTAAGTGTACATTTCTAAAGTGGGAATTATCCATTTTGACCAACATTTGTTGAAGAAGTTTGAACTTGTTTGGGCCCTAAACTGTAAATTTAAAAAATTTTTATAAAAATTGTGCTTTTTCCTTTATATAAACATATGGTTCACTCAGGAAGTGAAATTTTGTTTGAAACAAAAAGCTGAATTAGTGCTTTTTTTTTTTTTTTTTTACAGTCCAGGTCTTTTATTTTCTTTACACCCATCATGCCATGAATTCATAGGGAATGGGCTCCAACAGTCCAGGCTCCTTTCTGTTGGTTCTCACGAAGTGTGCTTCTCTGGGTGGAGCAGGCTGGCGCTTCAGTTGAACCCAATTACCTTTCTCTTTGGCTTCCTTCTTTTTCTGATCATTTTCCTTCACCCGTTTCAGGAAGCTATCTCGACTCTTAGAATGCTTAATATGCTCGATACGCACATTAATTCTCTTGGCAAGAATCTTGCCCTTAACTTGTTTGTTTACAATGATGCCAACAGCATGCTGGGTAACATTGTAGACTCTCCCAGTTTTGCCATGGTAACATTTGTGGGGCATTCCTTTTTGAACAGTGCCCATACCCTTGATATCTACAATATCACCTTTCTTGTAGATTTGCATGTATGTGGCCAAAGGAACAACTCCATGTTTTCTAAAAGGCCTAGAGAACATGTAGCATCTTTCCCTTTGTGTTGGTCATTTTGGCAAATTACTGGAAGGTGGCGGTTCCGCTAGCGCTTTTTTTAAAAAAAAAACAATCATTTATTTTTTGGCTGCTTTGGGTCTTAGTTGTGGCACGCGGGACCTTTTGTTGTGGCGTGCAGACTCTTCCTTGCGGTGCACCAGCTTCTCTCTAGTTGTGGCGTGCGGGTTTTCTCTCTCTAGCTGTGGTACGTGGGCTCCAGGGCTTGTGTGCTCTGTAGCTGTGGCGCGTGGGTTCCCGAGCGCGTGGGCTCTGTAGTTTGCAGCACGCGGGCTCTCTCGTTGAGGCACGCGAACTCAGCAGTTGGCGGGCTTAGTTGTCCCGGGGCGTGTGGGATCGAACCGGAGTTCCCTGCCTTGGAAGGCAGATTCTGTACCACTGGACCACCAGGGAAGTCCCAAGTGCTTTTTGACTTGTGGAAGATTTTTGCTCTAATTCATTCCTCAGATATAAAAATATTCAATCTTTATCTGGTACATTTATTTTTTATCCTTAACAATGTTTACTTTGCACCGTTCTGAAGGTTTTTTGTTTGATTCTATTTCAAATACGATCCTTGTTCAGCAACTTAGGATAAAAATCTTAAAAAGATGTTTTAGGGTGAAAGGTTTTAATGGTTGAAAGACATTGGAATAAATAAATAAATGCACACGTAAGTGTGTGCACGTGCACACACATACATATAATGTTTTGCTCTTAAGCTGGTGCCAATCCTGGCTGGTTTGCCTCTTTACCTTCCATATTTAGAACAGGTACACTCTTAACAATTGGTACTTTATATACATGGAAAATACAGTGGGCAAGAGATGAAGCAAAATGTGTTTTTATTTCAGAAGTGGTAGAATGGCATTATAAAGTATCAGTAGTTTTATCATGAACCAAAATACAGGAACCCAGCTACTCCTCATTGCAGCTTCTAATTCCTCATTTAATATAGTACCAGCATAAGTTGAAATAAGGAAGAATAAGCTTTTATAACATACCAGACCTTATACTAGATGCTTTTATAGCTACCATCTCTTTTAATAGTAAAATATATTACAATGTAGGAATTATTATCTTTATTTTTAAAATGTTTAAAAATTACCAAACTGGATATTTTGAGAAGTTAAACTGACTTCTTCTTTTTTTAAAATTTTATTTATTTTATTTTTGGCTGCGTTGGATCTTTGTTGCTGTGTACAGGCTTTCTACATTTGCAGAGAGCGGGGGCTACTCTTCGTTGCGGTGTGCGGGCTTCTCATTGTGATGGCTTCTCTTGTTGCGGAGCACGGGCTCTAGGCACGCAGCCTCAGTAGTTGTAGCACATGGGCTTAATTGCTCTGCAGCATGTGGGATCTTCCCAGACCAGGGCTTGAACCCGTGTCCCCTGCATTGGCAGGCGGATTCTTAACCACTGCGCCACCAGGGAAGCCCAAACTCACTTCTTAATGGTGGACTTTCAAGTGGTGGACTTGGAAGTGAATTCATTCTTTTACTCCATCTCTTGAGCCACAGACTTTATTGCATTAATTAAATTTACATTAAGTGTGTGTATGGTGTCTTTTATAATACGGAAGTTTAAAAATTGGCTTTCGTGTATTCCCTAGAAAAGTGTTGCCATTCCCATTATTATAG